CTTGTTTAAATCCTTTAAATCTCGAACAACAAAAAACAAAAATTGCCTATATACAGGGACTAGGGAGAATAAAATGGGAAGGTGGGTGATTTCTATGAAGAGGCGTTTATAAAATATAAATCGAACGATATCACTTACAAGGTAAGTTATTCGTTTGATTTATTAATTTTATGTCACGCCTCTTCTACGAAATCAATACGTAGATGTTTGAAGTAAAGCACTTTTTTCTTGTTGTTAATTTATTCGGTTATAACTATTTTTTTTTTTATAGGTACAATATACAATTCATAGAAGCTAACTCAATACAATTAACAGTTAGAACCAATGTATAGGTATACGTATTGTGCCAAACACATAAAACTAAATGTAGGTAGCAAAAAAGAAAATCTGAAGAACCAGATAACTATACAGAACAGACTGCATTAGCGAAAATAAACTTGTCTCTGACAAAAGATAAAGGTTTATTATAAAAAGCACCAAATACTCGAGATTTATCTGACCCACCGGCCGTCTTACGAATCACATCAACTGAAACTCCTTTACTCAGTGCAGAGACGTTACTGGCATGTCGCGTGCTATGTGCAGTGTATACTGATGCCTCTACGATACCACTAGAACTTAAGACTAACTTAAATCCAACGGCTTATAGTTGGGGTACAGTGGCTCTATACAAGACAGTGGCGACAATAGTGCCTAAGCTCCGCCCACCCGCCATGTTTTGTCGAACTCATTCAATAATGTATTTTTTCTTTCTTTTCTTTCTGTTCTAATTTTTTTATCACAAAATAGTCAATAACAGACACAAATAACAAAAACAAAAATATATTAACACAAAATTGCTTGAATATCCATAGAATCAAATGGTAAACACAAATAACTTTAATGCCTAAGCTCCGCCCACCCGCCATGATTTGTCGAACTCATTTAATAATTTATTTGATCTTTATTTTCTTTCTGTTCTAATTTTTTGTCACAAAATAGTCAATAACAGGCACAAATAACAAAAACAAAAATATATAAACACAAAATTCCATAAATCTCCATAGGATCAAATGGTAAATACAAATAACTTTCAACAAAACAAGGCGGATATTCTGTAGCCAATCAAAAATGAGTCCCTCTATTGTCGCCACTGTCTTGTATAGAGGCACTGTAAGTTGGGGCAGCCGCTCTATGATGTTTATTGAACGTAATGAGAAGTTGTGACTCATGTTTTCTCAAAATCTTTGTTTTTCCTAAATAACATTGTAGGACTGTTGAAACACATAATTCTGGTAGCTATAGTTTCGAACTTTGACAAAACCACTGGCGCCGACTACATGGGGGCATCGGGGCATCGGGGCATCGTATACAAGTGGTATTAGTATTATGTCCTTTCGTTATTTGTGATCAGTTCTATGTTCTTTTACTTTATGTTGCTATTCTCCATCTCTATTTTCTGATAACAATCGGGATAGTCCCGCCAACAACAGGAAGTTTGACGCTTGCGCCGTATGCCATATAATTTAATTTTTCGCGTGGGTAGGGATACTTTCCGCATGATTGAGGAACGTTATTTTTTTACGACCTTTTTTTTCTGCACACATTTTAGAACATGAAAGTAGGGGAAGGCGGGGCAGAACGGGGTAGCAGGGTAGAGCGGAATACCGTCATTAAAAAGCGAACGTGCGTCCGGAGTCCGGAAACATCCAAACTTGTACTGAATCTCACCAAGACGCATCAAATACATGTAGATACGTCAGTTGTCCGAAAAACGTCAAGCAAGGCTTTTTACTTTAAAAGTAAATATTGCACATGGGGCGGAATGGGGTGGGGTACAATGGGTTACAGCGTTCTGTCCCGTTTATTGTCGATTTAGTCAAGTCAAAAATTTAGTAACTATGTTGGAAACACAAGCCTTTTCTATATAAAAATTTGAAAGCATTGACAATTTTACATTGCATTGCCAACATAATGTCATTTTGACTTTTATCTTCAAAAAAAAAACAGACTTTAAGTAATCGCGTGACGTCTGTCAAGATTTGCTCTATTTGCTCGCAGATGCAATTACCGAACCCAGCCGGTGGTGAAAAATATAAAAACCCCGTTCTGCTCCGCTAGCGGGGCGAAATGGGGCAAAATACACTTTTTTGGTTTCTCAAAATTATTGTATCAAATAGTTATTTTCCTAACAAGTGCGCAAAGTGTTACGACGCGAAGCGGAGTTCGGATACGTGTTTGCGTGCGGAAAAGACACTTTGCGCACGTGTTAGGAACAAAATTTTTCCTACGAGCTTCATATGAGGTAGGTAATAACAAAAATTTAAAAATTAAACGATAATTTGTTTAATTATTTTTAATTAACTTGAAGGGAACCTATGCATTTATCAAAAAATTACATATCAAAAAATAACAGAAAATCCTCATCAGAGCTGTTCATCTTATAAAGCGTTTAAATTTGATGAGAAAGTTTGTAGATTTTTGCATATAAATAGAGAACAAATCTGACAATGTGTCAAAGTTAATTTATATTTGGTGTTTGTATAGATGTTGACTGATATAGAACCAGAGGAAAAATTTGTCATCATGTGTCAAAGTCGATAGGTGCACTTATTGTTGCTTGACAATTATAATTACTTTATTTGACTGTAAAAAATGATGAAAAAGCTTAATTTACATACTTATGTTGAGTAATACACCTATAGCAAAAAAAAATACTTATCTTGCTAATTTTGTAGTGACAATTGAGCATCAAACGTTAAGTACCCTGTTCTGCCCCGCCTTCCCCTACCAGGCGGGTGACTTAATATTGCATAATTATTTTACTTTTCCGCATTAGTGCAGAAAAGTAATATTTTCATGGCCAAAAATGCGTGCAGAATAAAACACTTTTCGCATACTCGTGACAAAAAATTTTTTCGCTACCGGCTATAAGCAAATTCATAAAGTTATTATTCTGCACCCATGAGGAATTTCAAAAGTCGGCGCCTATGGACAAAACTAAAGTAGGTTGAATTTCATTCAGCGCTGACTTCTTGATTTGGCTTGAAATTTTGATTTCCAGAACACAGGCCGGGCCCCAAGTACACTCATATTTTGGTTTACTAGAAGATTGTAAACCCCCTTAAAAAATCTATTTATACTAATATCGCTTACTACGTTTGAGCCATAAACCAGACTTAAAGCAGCCCGAAAGTTATCGAGAGAACCATAAGACTTACCATCATTAGAATGAACACTAAAAAATTCTAACACTAAAGATACAGATGCAGAATATACATCAACATTTTTTAGTTGACAAAATTTCCATCATCAACATCTATATGCAGTATTATATTGTTTTATTGTGGAACTACGGACAGATGAATAAAGGATATCCATGGAGCCCTCGGGAATATTCCACAGCTGAAATGCTTTCCTGACAAAACTCCTGCTGCCAGGGTAAGCTTTTGCCATAATGGATGGGGTTCCCTGTCAACAGATAAAAGAAATTTTTTATCAGGTTCAAAAATTATCAATTCAGATATTAACATATCAAACATCGGAAACCAAAGTTGGCTTTGCCAGTATGGAATTACCACAATGCCTGTTGCAGAATCATTATTGATTTTCCTCAGTATCTAGATTTGGAGCAAACAAAATGGGAGAAAAGCATAAAAGACAGAATCTGACCAAGAAATAGTGGAGGCATCTACATTTGCAGCCTCTGGGTCAGGCTGCCAGGAAATGAATCTTGAGCATTTATTATTGAGCCGAGTAGCAAATAAATCAACTTCTGGTATACCAAACTTCTGAATAATTTTTGAAAAACATAGACTGGAAAGCTCCCACTCTTTCTCAGAGCTGTTAGTCCTGGATTCTTGGTCATCCTCAAAATTATCTGATGAACTTATGAATGAAGCGAAAACCCAAATCCTTCTCTCTTCACACTATGCCCAAAGCTCCCTCGCAATATTATCCAATATGGGATACTGCACTCCCCTTATTCAGCCAAAAATCATCTATATACAAAACTGATAAGTAACCTTCGGCTCTAAGAAAGGAATAGGTTTTAAAAGTTTAGTAAACACCCAAGGTGCTGTACATTGGACACTTTCTTATGGAAACACCCTTTATTTTTAGAGATAGAAAAAAATGGACCCCCCACTCTGAGGCTCAAATTTCATGAAATCTTGATTGGTGCAAACCGCATTTTGATATCTTCAACCGTTTAGCCGCTAGAGGGCGATACTCGATTTTGAGCAATACCGTAAAGCCTCCATAACTTTTTTGTTTATGAAAATAATTCATTTCCGTAAAGATCTTTTGGAAGCACTTTTTCAAGCAGAATTCAGTAACGTTCTCAGTTTTTTTCTGTCTGGCTTCGATTTCGAGATATTGACCATAGTCCGATTTTTTTCAATAGGACACCCTATATATCAATAGTTTATTAGAAAGCTATGCTTTCGCTGATTTCAATGATATAAGATTCGATAGGTTTATCTCTAACAGTTTTCGAGAAAAAAAATTATTTCGGTTTTTGTCATAAGAAACAATGTGTTGGAAAAGGACTTTATCTCTGTAAGGAAACTGAGAAATGTCTCTTTCTAACACATTGTTTCTTATGACAAAAACTGAAATAATTTTTTTTATCGAAAACCGTTAGAGATAAGCCTATCAAACTTTATATCATTGAAATCAGCGAAAGCGTAGCTTTCTAATGAACTATTAATATATAGGGTGCCCTATTGGAAAAAATCGGATATTGGTCAATATATCGAAATCGAAGCCAGACAGAAAAAAACTGAGAACGTCACTGAATTCTACTTGAAAAAGTGTTTCCAAAAAGTCTTTACGGAAATGAATTATTTTCATGAACAAAAAAGTTATGGAGACTTTACAATATTGCTCAAAATCGAGAATCGCCCTCTAGCGGCTAAACGGTTGAAGATATCAAAATGCAGTTTGCACCAATCAAGATTCCATGAAATTTGAGCCTCAGAGTGGAGGGTCTATTTTTTTCTATCTCTAAAAAATGAGAATCAAAAACGAAATGCTCCCTTTGCAAAAGGAATAGGAAAGTAAGCTTCTTTCAAATCTATTGTTGGTATATAACAATCTTTTGAAACAATGGTTTCAACAACTTTCCGATCTTCAGGTTTAAAATGGCAGGGGTCACTAAAACAATTTAATTTTTTTCAAATTGAGAACCAACCTAAAACTGCCATCTGATTTCGGAACTAGAAATATTTTCGAAATAAACTGTCCTTCAGTAGGCTGACACTTGGCTACAGCCCGAATATCACACAAGTGTTTAACCGCCTGTGTCATTTTAATTTTTTCTTTTTGTTAATAAATTGGTTGTAAATGTTGGAACACTGGCCTAGAAAAAGGGATAGTATAGCCCTCCAACCAAGAACGAAGTAGAGGATCACAGGTAGGTTTATCTTAACCAAAATGATTTAAATGCAGATAATCTTTCTCCAAATTGACTTACTAGTTGTTGAACTTCCTTGGAGGAAACTTCCTGCCCCTCTCTCTTTCCCTCGTCTCTTCTTCCTTCGGGAATTGAGATCGAGATTCCTGATAGTACCTGTTTTGCCCACTCCGGCGTTGAGGTTTGTATTTCTTTTGTCGAAGTGGGCCCAAGAAGTTTGGGTTATGGGCCTTGAGGGTCTGTGGTGCATACTTCGCTTTGGAAGAGCCAGCCTTAAGAGCTACTGACTTGCCAATGGATTTGGCTGTTTTGATTCGCTCACCTAAATCTTCTCCGAACAGGTAAAAGTGTTCAAAGGAGCTTGAGCCAATGCCTCTGTAAGTTCAGGCTTAAGATTATTGGAATTACGAGAAAAACTTAAAATAGGATACTTTTGTATACACAGAATCAGTGATGTGTATTCTACACAGTAGAGATGTATCTCCCGTTCAATTAAACTCGAAGTCTCTTCGTCTTCATCTGGACGATTCAATAGAATTGACTGGGCCCTTATTGCTACAGCTGTCAAGGCGATACCAACCTCTTTTTGACGAGCAACTAATCTCTCATCTTTCTTACGATCAGCCTCATTTAGAGCAGCTCTGATTTGAGCATTCAGCTTGGGAGGGATAAAAAAAGGGCAATTCTCTGGTGTTGGATATTTTGCCATCACCTCGTTCAACTGGGAATAAACCACAATGATTGGCTAGAATATCATGTAGTGATTCTCCCACTAACGTCTGCTTTTTGCGGTTTGCACCCATAGCACTTAAACCCTCTGATCAAGGTCTGTTTGAAGAGGATCCACGACCTCTGGTGCATTGGAAGTGGATAAACCTAAAATCAAACAGATGTATTTACTTACACATCAATCTGACGGCATTCTTGGAAAACAAACGACATGTTTATCTGTAACCAAGACAAAACATAATACAACCAATAATCTTGGTTGGCCCCTGAGCAAATAGATAACCTCCAAATGCACTTACAATCAACAAATGGGGCCGTCCCGCTAAATTGAAAATAATGATTCTAATGTGAGACGAGTGGTTCTACTACACTAATATACCGTTCAATATAGTTTAATTTAATTTTAATAAATTATGCATTGAAACATAACAATTTTATTTAAAATTTAATTTTTGCCATTATTTGAAATTGATGCTTTCGCGCCTTTATGACGTATTATGACTCCAGCCAATAGGGCCAATAGGGGACGAATGAAAATAATCCATGACGACCTAAACCCTGAAAAATAGGCAACCAGACATACACTTTCCATTTTTTTCAAAAAATCAACACTGAACTGACAGATTTCAATGTCATCATAATGGTTATCTAATCTATGTAGATATTAAACATGTCGTATCTGAATTCAGCCATTTCGTCTGTATCAGAAAGAGCTGGTAAGTTAACCAAAAGATCTCCAACTAGAGAATTTGTATCTGTCATAAATTATATAATGTATGTATTTTTTTTTTTTGTTTCGTTAAATTGTTTGTCTACTACCGTGCGTAAAGTACTCACTTTACGCACTATTCAGAAGATGTAAAATTTCATTTCACGCACTACTGCGAAAAGTAATTCACTTCACACACTAGTGCGTGAAGTACTAATGTCAATGACAGATGTCAATACTGTCAATTTAGTATTTTTCTGGTAAATTACTTCACGCACTAGTGCGTAATGTGAAAATACTTCACGCACTAGTGCGTAAAGTATTTGGCTAAATATTTTTTTAGACATTATTTGATTGGTAGTAGAAAAAATTTTGTATGCAATACGTGCGTGAAGCACCTTTTTTCACTCATGTGATTGTCGCACTCGCCTTCGGCTCGTGCGTCAAAATTCACATTCGTGGAAAAAGGTTCACTTTACACACTTGTTGCATAAATAGCTATTTTAAATTAAACTGAATAATCTAATTTAAAAAATCAATATATTTTTCTTTAAAATTACTTGTCTCCAATACACTGAAATTGAAATTAAATTTGTGTACGATACGCTACAATCCTCAAACAAAAGGTTCAAAAGGGGCAACAAAAAATACAAAGCACGTACAGAGTTGGGTTCTGTCGTTCTTCGTCCTATCTCGATTCCATCTGTTCGCCTGGAGATTCTTGGATGTTCGCGGTTAATCGAAGGTTCTGGATAGAGCTTTTAGGGGTTGAAACCACCGGTAAATTTCGAAGCGATGCGAAACTGTTACTGTACTATCCTACCGACTGCGCCAATTACGTAGATCACCGAAAAAATTCTGTTTTCAGACAGTTTATTTTCAAACAGTTAAGAGTTATCTTAAGAGCAAAACAATATGGAATAAGAGAATGAATCTTAAACTAGGTATATTTATATTATAATGAACGATGAGCTGGTTCCGGGTCGGAATGCATCGAGTCAGCAGAAGTCTGGGAATGACGACAATGTAACTGGCTTAAAATAAAATCAATATTTATTATTAATGCTCTACTCATCCACAACTTCGGTAAATACAAAGAACACAATTAAAACAACTGAAACAAAACCCTTGCAAACAAAAAACAAGTGAGAACTCAAACACAAATCTCAATTCTAAGTTTCTACAGAAAGGTAGAAAACATAGGAAACGATTCTAATAACGACCTACATTTTAAATAAGGACTTTACATAATTTTAAATATTTTATACTTAACAATATCCTCCAAAGTTACCAACTGATAAAATAAGCTCAATTAAACATGGTTCATCGGTACTAGTTGGAGTTTTTCCAATTCTCTTCTCAAGAACGAAGTTGCCAATTCATTGTGTATAGGTACAACTAAATAATCTATGATTCAAGTCATCTTCAGAATTCAGATTCAGATTGGGTTATCACAAAAGCATAGTATTCTCGCATAACTTAAGCTTATACATTTGTTTATTAAACTTTCCATGTTCAACTGAAAATCTGAAATAGGAAACAAACACATTTCTGGACAGTGAACTTTGTTGACCAGTCAGAAACAACTACTCCGAGGGCAAATACCCCCACCGGCGTTGAACTACACTGATTGGTCTGAGCTTTCGTTGGCAATGGAAATTGACCTGAAAAAACCTTTCTAACACATTTCTGGACAGTTTAAAACTTTGTATTAATGGCTTTTTATTTAAATTAGTACTATAAAAGAAGTTATGTAACAAATTAGGGGAGTTTTGCAATATAATTACTGCGCCAGATCTTTTCTTAATTATTTCGAAAAAGTCCGAATATGGAGTAGGTAATTTCCAAGATCTCCCCTGATACAATCGCCTCCCTTGCTGCATTATCAACCAATGCGTTGCCTTTGAGTCCCATATGTCCCTCAATCCATACAAACTTGACATTAATATTTTTAGAGCACAAAACAGAGATTACCCCCAATATTTTGGCTTTAATTAGATGCTTACAATTCCTCGCATTTGTGAGACTTCAAAACTGACTGAGAATCAGAGAGAACAATAGCTTTGAAAATATTTCCCTTTGACAATACCTATATGATCTAGTGCTTTTAATATCGCTAGTGCTTCGGCACTGTAGATAGATACATTATTTTCGTATTTGAATTTTTTAACCTAATTCAATTCAGGTACGGCAATTGCACATCCTACTCCTGAACTAGTTTTAGCCCCATCGGTATATATTTATTTGAAGATAATTCTCGTATTTGCTTAGACTTTCCTTGAAACGCCAGAATTTAGTGAAGGGAAACTCCGAAAAATTCGGAAAATAGAATTTCAGGATTTAGATATGTATATCAAATCAAATGGAGAATGAAATACACTTTGTTTCACGAGGGTTTATACTTTTGACATAATTTGCCTTCCTTTTTTAACAAATAGAAATTGACTAAAACAAATCAATGACGTCAAAAACTTTAATCGTTTCTTAAACCCGAAGTCATTCATTTTAATTTGTCAAAAAAATTGAGTGTGTCATATGAATTAATCTACGACAACCCTTTTTTTTCAAGTTAGTCTTCGATGTCAAAAGTATAAACCCTTGTGAAACGAACTTTAGTCTATAATTGTCTTGTTTTGTTATGATATTATGGAATTTTGATGTACTTACAAAAGCATCCGCTAAAACAGGACTTTTTTTGATTGTTCGAGTATGAGTGAGTTAGGTTAAAAATATTCAAGATACTAACTTCATTAAGTAACGAGTTATGTACGTAATGAACATTTTTAGGAATACATTTTTCTGCTAAAATTTTTCGTCTAATTTTCAATGGAGCTTCATTACATTGAGAAAGCGGAGCCTGGATTGGGGTAGAGCTTAAAGCATCTGTTACAAGTCTTGGGTCTTTGTATTGCAGCCTATCGACCTCTCTTGTAAATGCTTTATAAAACATTAAGCAAACTTGGGGACCGGATTCTTTGCCTGAAGGGAATTGATCCAAGACTCTCTGGGGTAAGGCGACCCTGACCAGAAGTGTAGCTACTGCTCCCTTGGGTAAGAAAACCCTGAGGAGAGAGATGTGAACCAAAAGGGAAAACTGTTGCTTCCTTGGGTAAGGAGACCCTGAGAAGAGACATACCCGATGCCGATACCATGGGCTGTATCGGTTTTTATATCCATCTCGTGTAGAAACCATGAGTGCTGATTTTTTATTTGAGATATTGAAGCCATTACTGGGAAAATATTGATTGCAAACATACATTATACATAATATGTTTTAGGTTAGTTAAGCACACATTCATGCTTTTTTGCTTGAGATACGAAAGTCATCAGCATATTGGAACAGAGAATCATTTAACCCTGGTCTTTGTATGATTTTTGGAAAAGTGAATTTTCAACATAGGTGATGAATGTATAATCACGCGCAACTTTCGTTCACTTAATTCAATGTCGTAAGAAATTTGGTATATTTTGTATATTGTTGCCATGTATTAAACAGGTAAAGCTAAAACTAGTAAGGATGAGACATTAGAATAAAATAAAAAAAGGTGTCGGATTATCAAATATTTTCAACAGAATAGACGTAAAAGATGCGACTTTTCCAGAAATCATACAAAAAACAGGGTGTTCCATTTATGGTGTAACTTTCTGGTTTTTGGTTCAAATGATTTTTTGGTACAAGTTTTGAATTCTCTAGAAAAAAATATGCCAATGGGCTTTTTCGATTTTTTTCAAAAATACAGGAAAGGTCAAAAATATGCGCCTGTTCAATTCTCGTTGGATACCCCGTACATAAGGTTTTTTGGAACCATTGAAGATAAAAGGTTGACCAAATGGGGAAAAAATTGCGCAATCAAATGCCTACTTACAAATAATCTGTCACCAATTCTTTTTCAAATTCGGAAAAGCAACGGATATATAATGTCTAATCTAATTCAACTTACGAAATTTACTTCAAGTTATTCCGGACACCCTGTATATTAATATTAATTTTAATTTCGCTCATAAAATTAACAATTAACAAACAAAAGGGTAATTAAAGAAAACCCAAGTTTGCACGCTTAATGTTCACCGAGCCATTATAAATTCATTATGATTATTGCATACCGTCAGATAGGTTGTACAAGTTCCCTCTACCAAATGGGTACTACCTGTGTAACCGCGCACGCGAAACTAGACTTTATCCGTGTCGCGTATAGAGAACCACCTTGTATCTACAGGTGAAATCACCCAGGTAAAATTTTATAGTTGCGTATTAGGTCTACCACACTGAAGATAATACCGCGGTTGCCGATGGTAACATTGTGATTTATTTGTGCAACAAAAAAATAATAAAACGAAAATGAAGAATTATTGTTGGTGTTTTAGTATAATAATTGTGTGTTCAGGTGTGGTACTCGGTGCTAGTGTTGGAGGTATTACAGTGGGTGGTGCCAAATGCGGACAAATAACTTGCAAACAAACTCAGTATTGTTCAAGTTTTGATAATACTTGTCAAGAATGTGACCTGGTTTGCAATACGAAAAGTCACAATTATGAAGAAGCTGTTTGCGAAAAGCAATGTCAAGGTAGGTAATTACATAGTTACAAAATTAGGGTTTAGTTTTCCTTTAACTTTTATTTTATTTTAACCAAGTTAGGGTGTTAGGAATTAAATGTTGTTAGGGACCAGAGTTGTATGATGCCACTTATGTTAGGAACCCGGAGTTTTCCGGTATGGCTCCAATGTAGTAATCTCGGATTATTTCTATAGGCCTTGTACCTATTATCCGGTATTTTAATTAAGTAAAAAGTAAAACTCGAAATTACTTGAAGGTTTAGTTTATTTTAACTCTGAACGAAACTGATTTTACATATTGTTCGTCGATTTTTATCTGACACTTTCCGCATGAGGAGCGAGGGGGTGAAGTATATGGCAAAAACAGGTGTGACGTCAGGTGATCATTGGCGTTCTAATGTAGGGTGCCACCAGCTCATATTCCTTTCGAGTATCAGATTAAAATCGACGGACTTTAAGTGCGACTGCTACAACCCGACTGTTTGCTATCGATCCCACAAAGCAACTCCAAACTTCAATTCTAAAAACTAAAAAGTAACCTGAAGGACAACTAAGTTTATAATTGTCAGGGCAATTTTCACCATCTGGAATAATAAAATTGGGTCTGGGAAAAGTACTCTATCTTTGGCGTCAAGAACATCCTCCATGGGTTATATTTATTTATATGTAATTACAATAATTTGGGTTCCTGCAATAGAGGTACCGAGTACCGACAAATGGAAACATCTTGTTGGGATATTGGTGTTTACGGGACGTTGTAATAATAATTCCAGCCGGCCAGGGCCGTCTTAAGGCATGGGCCTGCTGGGCCCGGGCCCAGGGCCTCCGCGCCAAAGGGGCCTCATCGCTAAGTCCACGCCCAATTTAAAATAAAATTTATAGAAAAAAAAATGGAAAAAAAAATATAGGCGGGTAGCGATAGAATGCAACTTAAATGTCACAATTTACTTTGACTTTGTTCAAAACCTCTATATAAGATTTCTTTTCCTCGTCAATGCACCGTTGGGAGATGAATTCAAATTTAAGTTCCGATCATAAAGTACTGAAAAGCTTATAAAAAACACGTTGGTCTTCACGTGAAGACGCAGTTACAGTCTTAAATTGTGGATACAGAAATCCAAATGAGCCTTGATACCTTAAGTGCCGGTACTTTTGCTCTTATTTGACAGCCGTTAAAAATAATTAGGGCTTTGAATGTACTCTAACCATATCATACTTATAGATCTTGGCCCATGCAAAACTTTGACAACACAACGTATCAAATTCGTTAATCGATAGCAAAAGTATCGGCCCTAAGAATGACAAATTGCAATCAGCAGATACACGTCTTACTGCAAAAACATTGAACAGCAAGATGGATGACTTAGAAACTACTTTCTTAACTATTTTTTGGAATGATATTTTGACTCGGACTAACAGAGTAAATTTGTTCGTCCAAAAGGAAAACTGAAATTTGTTAGTCCAAAAGGAAAACTGAAATTTGTCTACAACTGTAATAGTTATTTACCTAACAAATGCGGAAAGTGATACTTTACCGCACGCAACGGCAGTTGACTGAACGACGCGAAGCGGAGTTCGGTCAAGCCGTTAACGGCGGTAAAGCCACTTTCCGCATGTGTTAGGTACAACATTTTACCTATGAGCATCTACACATCTCCAAAAAAAGGCATTGATAAAATTAATTAATGAATCAGATTTATTAATGAAATTAGATTAGATTTAGAAATGATCAAAAATCCATTTTCTGAAAAAGAAAGGATTTTTTATTATAAATATCAAATTCTACTTTACCGCACACTATGCGGTAAAGTGCACTTTACCGCACACTATGCTATAAGTTAACTTTACCGCATACTATGCTGTAAAGTTAACTTTACCGCACACTATGCGGTAAAGTAACTTTACCGTGTGAGGTAAAGTTAACTTTACCGCATAGTATGCGGTAAAGTAGACTTTGGGTATTTATGATTGAAAATCCTTTCTTTTTTAGAACATGGATTTTTGATCATTTCTAAATCTAATCTAATTTCATTAATTGATATGATTTATTGATTAATTTTATTAATGCCTTGTTTTGGAGATGTAGATGTTCAAAGGTAAAATTTTGTACCTAAACACATGCGGAAAGTGCCTTTACCGCCCTTAAAGGCATGACCGATCAACTGCTGTTGCGTGCGGTAGAGTATTACTTTCCGCATTCGTTAGGTAAATAGCTATTAAATCATTAATGGCACATATAAGAGAAAAAGATACGATTTTGATTTTTATGAATCAAAATCCAGAGAAAAATCTGTTTTAAAGGAGTACCGCGATATTAGGACACGAGTGAAAAGACAAAGTAACTTTCCTTGAAGGTAACGGGTAACAAAATATTTGAAAGAATCGGTTTTTTTGAAAAAATGTCTGACCATGTGAAATTGAAATTTCAAGAGAAGCGGTAAAACTGTCACAATTTTATGACAAAGAAACCGATGAATTAATTTTGGAATGTGACCATTTCAAATCCTATATCAGCATAGATATTGAAAAACTAAAAAAACAGGAAGTAGAAATGGGGAGGAAACATGAAATTGGTATGAGAATTTTTTTTATCCATGATTTGTTGAGTATTGAAAGCAAAATTTTACAAACCGTTGATTTTGAAGACATAATTCACGATTTTGCCTCTGTAAACTCTAGAAAACGACCTTTGTAATTTGTTATTTTCTTTCCACAATATATACATTACATTTTCACATTTCAAAAGTTTTTTTAACTTATTCATGTCCTATGCCCTAGAGCACCCCCCCCCTGTAGGTAAGGGGCCTCCTTTGACATATAGGCCCAGGGCCTCAAGAAGTCTTAAGACGTCCCTGCAGCCGGCACATCTTTGAAACCCAAATAAGCCAATAACTTATAAAGTACCTAATTGATGAGGGTCTAAACCAAACAGATGGTGGAATTTGTATGAAGATTTGAGCGATTATTCCTCTCCCGTTATTGAAAACCAATTACAAAAACAAAGTGATTTTTTCCGGAAAAATCTTTGATAGGTTTTGCCAAAACACAAAATCAGGAAATAATCTTACCATTCGTGCTCCTAATTTTTGTTGTTGAAAAATCTAAAAAAATTCGTTTGCAAGATATTTGTTTAACAAAAAGGACTCGCTCGTACCTTGCATCAAAATAAGGGCAATGCAATCCATATGTGATTTTTTAGTACTCGAGTCTCCGAAGTGCAGACAAATCGTTTTTTTTTTCGGTAAAAACCTGTGTTTTGTCTCTGCAGGTACAGCACGCATAAAACGTGACTTTGTCGCGATTCGAACGGCTCTCATTATCACGTACAGTACATACCACTCGAGGTAGTTAAATATTTTCTTAGAATATATTTTTATATCCGCTAAATTTCTTTAAAAATACACATCGAATGTTTTTTGAAAATTGAAAAAAAAAAAAATCAGAGAATTTTTCTGTCACAATGCTACAGTGTGTATAAATAGACATAGATATGTCACCATATGGCCTAAACTAAATTAAAGAGTGAACTTTTGGTAGATATACATTTATAGAACTCCCACTTAACAAAAGTTCACAAACACCAAAATAAACAAAATAAAAAACATTAAGCACAACTTAAACCCAAACATTTTACAAATTTGGAATTCTTCACATTTTGCAAAGACTTGGTCAAGATATCGGCGACCATTTCATCAGTTGACAGATATTTCAAGTTATTATTATTTTCAGATAAAGCGTCTCTTAAGAAATCGTACCTTATATTAATGTGCTTTGATAGATCATGAAAAACTTAATTGCTCGCTAGTTTTTGAGCACTTTGATTATCGTTGAATATATCAATGCAATCCAATTTTCCTGTAATCTCAAAGGTTTCTGAAATAAATGGCTTCCTTAGCTGCCTCGCTCAGTGCCATATACTCAGCTTCAGTTATGGATAAGGCAACTTTTCCATGAGATTCAACCGCCAGGAAATTTAAAAACATAGCCAGTGAAAGACTTCCTGTCCTACTTGTCTGTGCCCCAGTCGGCATCTGCAAATCCTGCTAAATTTAAATTTTCTTTGTAAAATTTCATGGAAAAATCTTTAGTACCTACTCTTTAAATCTCGAAGCAAACGTTTTGCACACTGCCAGTGTAACTTGGCGTAAGAGTTGGTTGTATTGACTTAGCAGACTCACAGTATGAGAGGCGTGTCATGACAGCTAAATACATCAAACTTTCGATAAGTTCCTGGTAAGGAATTGTCGGATCACAAGTCTCACCCTCGACCTTGCTCAAGTTGACACTGCTATCAAGTGGAGTAACTTGAATGGCCCTCCAGAAAATTGATTTCTCTAGAATCAGCTGAAAAAACAAAAAAGTCATCATTATAATGCTATTGTTAACATATTTTCGAGCATATTTTCATCATTTTTCTTTATATATAAGCAAGGTTCGAATTTTGACTTTTTGTAACCAATGTTTGACAAATAGACTGTGAGATAGGGGCTGTTTAGTGGAGTCATTTTTTTCTGTCTGGCATTTTGAGGGTTGAATGTGGCTACTAAGCTGATGAGAATATGGGTGATTTTAATGCCGGCCTCCCGTTCGAAAATTTGCAGAAAAAAAAAATTGATTTACATGAAGATTTTTTTTTTAATGATCTCAAATTTTCTTGCTTTTAAATAAAAGATTGACATTGATAAATAATTCACCCATGAAAAATATCAGATGCTTTTCAATAGCTGAAAAAATCGGTATGGGTGTCAACTTCCAAGAGAAAAGAAAAGAACCTTCCGCGTTTACTTTTTGTCTGGCAATCGAGAGAATGAAAGGTTTTGTTGTGAAAATAACGCTGAAAAATCGCCAGACGGTAATCACAGTTCTAAATCGAGTTTTCCGGCGAAACATTCTGTGGACATTTCGAACAGGAGGCAGGCATTAAAACCACTTATATTCTCATCAGCTAACTAGTCACATTCATCCCTCAAAATGCCAGACAAAAAAAAATGACTCCACTAAACAGGCCCT